TTTCTACATGCTCTCTGTTATACAAGATCTTCGCCATTGCTTCAATAATTTCAGAGAGCTCAAGCTTTTCATCGGACATATCTACGTTTTTCTCAATCATTGTTAGATTATAGCCTCTTTGTAGGGGATTTTCCACGAAGTTCATGTAACATTTATGGCATAATATAATTTCTTTCTTCTAGGACGGTCTTACAAGACCGCTACTAACAACTTCTTTCCATTTTTCTCCCGTTAGCAATCTAAACCTGCTTGATTTCATCGTTTTGCACTCTAAACAACTTTTCGCTTCAGACATAATGACACTTGCTGGATTCAAATGGATTCAAATGATATTTCGAATGGGCGATATGAAAGCTTTAAGTTTGCTTAGAAACCCATGCTCGTTTAATGATGCGAATGGGCTACACAAGCCCCTTGAAAAAGTACTCTAAACTGTATAAAAAACGATCTTTTAAATTGTGTAACGTAATTTCCTTATATGGGGTACGGTCCCTCCTCGACCTCGAATCCCTACTCGAGGTAGGAACGTCCCAAATAAGGAAATGATGATCCCGATCATGCATTATAATTTAGCCAATTAAAATCATAAATTTTTATCATGTGAAAAATATTACATGTTGATTAGCCAATCAAATCATAAATTTTTATAAGATGAAAAGAAACGAAAATTAATTAAAATTTATAGCTAAAGCTCAAAATAAATGCTGTTAAATGTTACTGTTAGGTAAGTAACATGTATTTATTAATTTAAATCAAGATTATTAATTTTTTCATAGTATTTAGTTTTATTTATTTACAAAACTTCGATAATTCAGTAATAATAATATACGTATATATATTTAATTCTACGGCTAACTCTATGTCACGCCTAACTCTATGTCTTATTCTATTTTAATTCTACTTCTACTCAAAATTTTAATCTTTTACACTATACTATCGCACACAACTATCATTTTTATAAAGTATCTTTGGAATTTTAACACACATCATATATAAACTTCTTATCGAATCTTAAAATTCCTAATAGTGATAATATTAATATTATTCATATATTTTCGGTTTTCTAAAAGATTTCTATACAGCATTTATAATAAAAAAAATATACAAACTATTCCTTCCTTCTACACCATCATTGTTAACCATTATTTTAGTTTTTTTTTTCGTTTTTTTTTGCTCAAAAAACGAGATTTTGTCATTGTAATGGTAGTTAATTGCTTATAACTTTGACCGGTGAAGTGTAATATGAAAGTTGTTGGATTAAAATGGATTAAACGAATATGTTGTAGGGCAAGGCGAGAACTTCAAGTTTCTCTAATAATATACCGCGTTTCATAAAGGAGATAATCTACCCGAGCTTCCGAAAAAAGTATTGTAAAACGTATAAAAAAAGATCTTTAATCAATTGTGTAACGATCTACAAAATCGGGGCACTCGGGACGTTCCTACCTCGACCTGCGGAAGCATTGTTTTATAACGTGATAATCGAAAATTTTCCGGGTCCCTGCCCCTAATTTGGGTCGGTATCCACAGTAATGATATATATTTAAATGTAAACAATTTTTAACAACAAAATGGGTCTCAAATCAGGTCCGCCGCGAAGAAATTATGGTACTAAGCTTCAAAAAAAGCATAATAAATTTAAGTGTCCGTATCCCGGTTGCAACTTATACTTTTCAAGTTACGGAAAAGTATCACAACATACCAAAGACATACACGACAACACATTACTTGGAGCAAAGTATGAACAAGAGTCAAAAATAGAACAAAGGATTAGCGCTAAACGAAATACATCATTTAAAGAAACGTTTTGCAAACAACTTGACGACATAATCAACGGTTTAACAAAATATTGTAGTTTAACTGAGCAAGGAAGTTTAATTGACGAAAACTTAAACAAAAGTCGTGACAGTCTTTTATTGTTAAAACAAGATTTCTCGGGCTTCACATAGCATCAATTCAGAATAGCTGAAAATACATTGAATAAAAGAATCAAAGCGGAACAAGCAAAGGCGGATACTATTATTCAAAAGTAATATTCCTTTTATAATTGTTTTTATGCGCATATGAAATATTTGCTAAGTTTATTGTTAGATACAAAGAAGAAATCTCAAGATTGAAAAGCGAACTCGCTAAAAAACGAAGAAAAAATTGCGTTATTAGTTAATCAAAACAGAGAATTGGATGAAAAATATACCAACATACAAGAAAAATACACAATACTTCAATGGCGTTACGATGCGAATTTTTAAAGAAAAAAAATATTATCTGGTTTGACGGGTAAGTTTTTTAAACATACGGTACATTTATTAAATTAAATATATAGCTTAATATATTTTTCAATATCCGGAACCTAGAGTTAATGAAGATATTGAAGCCTTGAAGAAAGGAATAAAGAAATCGAAGGAGTTATTGAATTATAGATTGAGCATCGTATTTTTATCGAATAAAATTTTTTTTGTTTACAATCTTGTTCAAATTCCACATGGTTTTATCATAATACTACTTTGAAAATACTCTATGCATATTCTATGGATCATAAGGAAAGTACATTTTGTTTATTTTTCTTTCTTCTTTATTAATCAGATATTCACTTTTGTACTTTGTTTTTGCATAGAAAATCGGGGGCGAGTCTTCTCGGAGTGATTACGGTGAAGAGAAATATATTTTGGTGTCTCAGAGTTATTGCAGTGAAGGAAGGCTCGACGCGATCATAAGTGAAATAGAAGTCAATTGGGTTTCTCGGAGTTGTGTAAGTATAACTAAGGTGTGAACAACTGTTTACATTTCAAGTTAACGATGAAGGAAACCCAATCTATATGAAGAAGTCTTATCGTCCGCAACGAAATTATAAAATTGTTTTGTTTACAACCTTGTTCAAATTCCACATGGGTTTATCATAATACTCTACGTATATTCTATGGACCATAAGGAAAGTACATTTTGTTTATTTTTCTTTATTAATCAGATATTCACTTTCCGTACTTGGTTTTTGCATAGAAAATCGGGGGCGAGTCTTCTCGGAGTGATTACGATAAAGAGAAATATATTTTGGTTTCTCAAAAGTTATTGCAGTGAAGGAAGGCTCGACGCGATCATAAGTGAAATAGAAGTCAATTGGGTTTCTCGGAGTTGTGTAAGTATAACTAAGGTGTAAACAACTGTTTACCTCTCAAGTTAACGATGAAGGAAACCCAATATATATGAAGAAATCTTATCGTCCGCAACGAAATTTTCAGTCATGAATTTATATAAAATTACTTATTCGTTGCTTTAGACCTCAATGATGATATATCAAATGCTTGATTCACTCAAATCTGAGAGGCTAAAATATCACAAATTGTTTTTTAAAGAATTCCAATTGTTTCTTTCAAACACTTCTCGCATCTATTTTGTCTTCATTTCCATCATCGATTTATTATCATATACTGTCACGGTTTCATCATCGTTTATTATAACTGATTCATTATTTTCTTTCATTCAATCGGTTCAATCTTCTCTTCGGACTTAACAATAAGTTTGTCAACGTACTTTAATCATCAAGTCAAATAATTTTTGATTAATTTTTCATTGTCTTGATCATACAGTTGATTAATTGTTTTTGATTATTTGATAGATTCACCTTCTTTAGACTCTCTAATTAAAAGGTTGCTAAAGAGGTTGATAGCTTGACGAAAAATATTATCGTTGAATTTTATTTCATTGTTGCTTAGTTACTGAAAAATTCTTGATTCAATTCATTCCTTTACACATATAGCGTTAGCTTTCATTATTAATTAAAATGGATAATTATATGGGTTTAGCACTATCTATATCGAACCATAACCAAGTACTTGGAAATAAAATGAACTTGCTTTCACCTGTGTTTTCTTTAAATTTTGCTTGGGCAAATACAATTCTTGAGACTTAAGGTTTACTGCAATAAACCGAATAAGGAATTTGTAACTTTTCAATTGCTAAATATACATTTCCTTTTTTTATAAATTTATTATAGATGTAACCTATGAGTAGTATGTAGCAATTTATGAAATTATACTATCTTAATTTTAATTCTAAAGTGTAAGATCTAATAATTAGAGCTCCAGGCACCCCTTGAATGTGCCAAGTTTTTGGCGCAGATTTACTGAACCATGAATCAGATTTCAAGATCAGGTGCAACGTAACACGATCAAGAAAATTCAAAACGCTCGTTTTGTAAAAATCGGTTATTTCTCGAAATTCTACATATGAAATCACTTTTGGTGTCTAATAAAAAGTTTCGTTGGGTATACAAACCACCTTCTAACATGTAATCCTAACTCTAAAATAAATGAGCAGTAAAGAATTTTGCTGCACTATAAACCTAGCACTCATTCAAGTAATGAGAGCTCCAGTTCACAAAACGTCACCATTTTTACAGTATTTATTGTGACGGCTGAAGCTGAGATTGGGTCTCTATTTAAACCTACTAAAATTCATTTATACTCTTTTATTCATAAAACTAACCCTAAACCCCAATCTAACTTTAAAAAAAAACCAACAAAGATGACCCTAAAAATTTTTAAAATTTAATATTAAAATATTTCAATATTTCAGATTCAGCCGATCTCAGCTTCAGCTACCACATTTATTAAAACCCGTATTAACTTTTTGTTTTTATAAAGTGAGACCTTGCCTCGGTTTTTTATTAGATAATTTATGTAGTTACATTATAATTATTAATTACAACCAATGGAGTATATGCACTATCTACTAAAGACCTGAAGCTAAAGATGGGTTTACCCTCGGCCTAAGCTCTGACAGAGGAGGTCAAACCTCACCTAATCTATGAAATTAGCAATAAGGGAAATATTATGTTTGTAGAATAATTCAGATCACTTATTAAATTTGTAAGAGTTCTATGTTTGTTTGCTTCAGTATTATTTGGGTTTACATTATATGTTGGTAAAGTATTAGTTAAATGTGTAGCTGGAACTCTGTGTAGATATATTAGTATGACTTCTATGTACCGAATCGACATCTAGAAATCCAGAAGTTAGTATAGTATTTTATGAAGTAGCAAGGCGGTAACCGAGTGTTTTTTGGTATTTGTGTTTTTTGTGTTTTTTTGTGACAGAATCATGTAGGATATGAGGGATAAAACCTTGAAGTATATTGATTTCGGTGTGCTTGTGGTTTTATTGAAAGGGCACTTTGAGGTAATAATCTGAATTATATTGTTAGCAGTTGTTGGATTGTGTATCCTTGAGTTTTGAAGACCTTGGTTGTGCATGTTTGAATGGGTTGTGACCCGTACTTAACTTATTGTCTGGTGCGTATCAAAGTGGTACAAAGCTACGTTTTTTTGGATATATTATCTGTTATTAGTTAATTATGTAGTCGTATCAACAACACAATTTTGGAATCCATGTCTATCCCCGTTGTGACAGTCAAAATTTCCCCTCCCCGATAGCATTTTTGTCTTCGCGACTATATGTAGTAAACAAAATAAACATATAGTCGCGAGAACAAAAATGCTCATATCTCACGATTCACTAGCAGATTTTAACTTTTTAACCGCAGTTACGACCTAATACTCTCCTATACAATTTCTATTAGAAGTAGAAGAGAGATTCACTTAGTATAAAATCGATTTGTTTTTAGGGAAATGCCAGATTCAAAAAAAAACACAAAAAACACTTAGTAAACAACATATCCCCACTGTTTTTTTACTGGTTCCCACGCGGAGTACAAATTAAATGTTATTGGTCTGTGATTTTTTAGGCAACGTACGTACAGTACGTACGTATGTACGTGCATGTTGTTACAACCGTGGGAGAGACTTGGCTAACGTGAGGACAAATTAGCTCAGGGTTGCAAGCATAGGTTATGTGAGATGAATGTTCATTAGGGGATTCAGAATTAGTGACAGTGGGTTATTAAGGAATGTATTTATTTAATTATTTGTTCAGAACAAAAAGAATTTATTAATTGATTGATTTCTTTATTAATACAAGCGTCGTATTTATACATTCTTAGACTAAGACGGTTTGAGACCAAAATTCTGGGTTCTAAACCACCATCGGTGGTTTCAGACCAGGATCTGTGGTTCTAAACCATCATTCGGGGTCCAGAACCGAGATCTGTGGTCCAAAACCACTACCCATCTCGATCTCATACTCAAAAAGGAAACATCATTGTTCGGGGCCAAATACCCTGACTACATACACTAAGAAAAATTATACACTAATTTTTCGTAACAATGTATTAAGAAAAAGTTTACCAAGGAAGTTCACATTTAAGTTTTTACCATACCGGACTTAACTCATAACATGTATACAAATTAAATTAGATTACGACTGGCATTGTAATCTAACATTGATCGATGCACAAGATAGATTTGTACTTACAGGTTTTCTCGTGGCATTATGTTACACATAATTTTACATTACAGTATTATGTGTCAGCAATGCATAGATACATCATTTTGCAATTAAACTTGCGAAACACGTCTATAAGTTTTTTTAAAAAAGTTTAAGAGGTTGCAATTCTCGAAAGATGTGTGTTACAAATATTAAATGTTATGAAGTGGCTATATTTTTTTTTTTTTTTTTTTTTATTAATATAATGCCATAGTTGAAGTGGCTATATTGATTAAACATTCTTAAATACTATTCTTAAATATTTTAAGTTGAATTTATAGCATATTATTTATGATTTTTAAACTTTTTTTTTTAATATTTAAATATATTTAGACTTCATAATGATTTCTATTCTATTAAGTTCTGTTTATTTTCTCTTTGATTATTATAAATTTCAATTATTTACAGAAAATGATGGAAATTGAAAATGATTAATAATTGACAAAATTTAAAATGGTTGTATGAATGGCAGTAATTGAATATCCTTATGAAAAATCAGTCTCCTGCACTTTAAATTCCCAAAAACTTGTGTGAACAATGAGAAAAAAATCAGAACCAAAAAACAAAGAAATCATTGACTATAATGCCAGAGGCAGGACAGTCAACATACACATAACCAAACAAAAAAAAGAAGTATGGCAATGAATTGCTACTTCAAAATCATGGACATCATGTATATACATGCCACCGAAATAGGTTTTCAAAAAACCCCTATTTCGTCTCCATTAGAGCAATTTGAAATTTTTTATATGCAATAGCAAATCTAATTTAGGTAGTTATGTTCCTTATAATTTCGTCTCTTCAAAAAAAGTGTCAAAAAATTTCGTCTTTTAAATAAAGTAGGTCAAAAACAATTTTGTCTTCAAATTTTAATTTCGTACCCCGAAACCTAAAATAATTTCGTCAGCATGTATACTTCTGTATCATCTGATTCCTTGGATTTATTTGGCTACTTCATCCGAGCTTTGTATAACTTATTTATTATACTATATTCTACAACCTCTCAATATGAGTTAGTGAAACCAAGGTTACAGGTGCTGATC